TCAATCATCACATTTAGGAATAGATCCTAATGCTCTTTGACACACATGCTTGATCCGACGTTGGTCAAATTAAACATGCATGTTGCTTGTTTCATCTCAAATCATGTTGACTGAAAAATCTTCTTCATAGAGAGTACATGAAAGACATTCGTCAACCAAGACTCTCAATGATCTATCTCTTTTCTATTCTTGGATAAATATCCAAGAATTTTTCTTTTTGAAGCCATTCTTTAGAGAGAACATACTCCCTCACGTTATGACCTTTCTTGGTCATCTTTCGGGTCACAAGTACCCAACCATTCGCTTTCACAAATGAAAGCATGGAACACTTTTAGTCCGAGAAAAATTATCCAATAATCAACAATAATGAGCATAAAAATAACCCATGTTGGTCTGGTTAAAAATATGCACATCAAACTTTTAAAACTTTCGTTTATATTCTAAATCACCGTTGGGCAAAATTAGAATAAAACATCATCCTTCTACATTAATTCCATATCACCGTTGGGCGGAAATGGAAATAATGCATATAACTCATAAACAATGTGATGATAGTATTTCTATTAAACAACTTTGCTAAGAAATAATCATCATCAACAACTTTATTACAGCGGGAACAAGAAAAATACATTTCTCTAGCTCAAGAGCATTTCTTGATCTTTATCTGTTCTTTGAAAATTGATCACTTTGATACAAAATTTATTAGAGATTTAAGCTTTGAACATAAGACTCATAGAATTATAGTACTGTTATCATCAACGTTGGTCTGAAAATAACAATACCATATTTTAACTTTAAAACAAATATCTTTCTTTTGTCATAGCAAAAACTATCTGCATCTTATTTCACCCACAGGGGAAAAACATTGCTAAGAACAGTTCTTCCAATTAAACCCTGTTGGTTCCAATTTAATTGGAAGATAAAACTTTTTCTTTGCAATGGAAACTTTACAATATTCTATTCAGAAACAATTATGTACTCTTTACTCTCTAAGTAATTTTAACCGTCTGGTTCAAAACTGCATTAGAGAAGCAACAATTTAATCTTTTACTTTAGTTCTATTAAAAACACTTTTTTTATTTGCAGCGGAAAACCATGAATAAAAAAATTCATGAACTTTTTACTTTTCAGAAGTATTTATTTTACTTTTCTGTTTTCTAATCAATTATCTCGATGGTTCAAATTGACTAGAGATTCAAACTGTACAAAACTGTACAAAAAAACAAACAAAAACAACAGCCCACCGCTTCCGGCCCAAAAGGGCCTGCAGGCGGGCGCGCTCAGCTGCGCGGCTGCACCTCCGCCCTATTGGGCCCATCGGCCCACCAGGGCAGCGCGGCTGCGGCCTGGCGCTCTATGCTTTTGGCCCAAAAGGCACGGGCGAGACTAGGTTTTACATCCAGGCCGTTCAAGGCGATCAGACGGTCGAGCATGGATATCGGTTGAACAAAACCGGGATAGAGTTCCCCGATACCGAACCCTGGCCCCCATTCGAGTCTGCCTCTCTCGATCTCTCTTGCTCCTCTTTGCGTCTCGCCCACAGCGGCGGGCAAGGTCCAGGTCGTCGGGCCACCGCGCGAGGCTCGATGTCGGCCGCCGGCGACGGCGTCCACCAGCGCGCCGTGCGAGACCGGCCACCTTCTCTTCCTTTCCCCTTGCCATTTCACTCATCGCGCGCCCCCGCTCGCCTTCTCGCTCGCGACGGCGGTCTCAGTCCATGTCGCCAGGCCACCGCGCCGCGCGCAGCCGCCGGCGACGGCCACCTCGCCGCGAGCCTTTCTTTCCCTCTTCTTTTCTGTCTCTCCCTTCCACCAATACGTAGCAGAGAGAGAGTGAGAAGCTCGACAGCGGAGCGGTCGACGATGGCGCCGTTGCCATCCCTTTCGCCGGTCGCGCGTTCCCTTACGGTGAGCGCGCCGCCGTCGAAAGGTTTGGCCGCGGTGCCCTTTGCCCCTCTCGGGGTGGTTCTTCGTCCGGCGCCTCGGCTTGCCGATGCGCGCCCGGATCGAGAGGAACGGGGCGGCCATGATGGCGGCGCTACTTTTTCCGGTTTGGATTCGTTCTTTCCCCTGTCGATTAGGGTTCCAGGGGAGGGGGTTTCTTTTCCGGGATTAGAACTCCCGTTTCCTTTTCCTACCGAAAATCCTAAACCAATCTGGCTCTAATACCATTGATAGAATATGTTGTTCCAGTGGGCATGGGGATTCCGGTAGTAGTGGTGGTAGGTATTACCTTTTCCTTGTGGCTCGAGGAGCTCCTGGTGTCGGACATGGTGCCGGTGATGGCAGAGAGTAGTGATTGCGGTGCTTCACATCAGCACTGCATTAACCCTAGATCGGGTGGGGATTAGGTGGGGTGTACAGTGTTGCGACGAATCTCCTGGTGCGAGCCGCCGACCCCCACCTCTTTATATAGTGCAGGTGACAGGGGGGCGTCAACCATAGTGGGTTGAGCGTCCCCGATCAGGGCGCGGATCTAAGGGCCCGGTGGGCCGTTGGGCCCACACGGTGGAGATCATCCTAACAGGAGGGAGTACGGGTGAAAGCTTGAGGCAATTTCAATGAAAAATATATCCTTGTAGATTCTATGTAAATCTGGCGAAATCAAATGGCCTACGCTAGAGGATTTCTCAAAGACTCAAATTCTACGAGAGAGAAAAAAACGTGGTTGGTTATCTTGAACAAAAGAAGGCTTTACTTTATTGTTATTTTTGAGACACACACACAAAAAGAACCTTTAATGCGTGTGGTGATATAGCAGACAGACGAATCGGTCGATTATCCCATCATTAACTCGTCGGTCCTGGTCCAGTTCACTTGGCATCATTGGATCGTGGCAAAGCCATCAATGCAATGCACTGCAATGGATCATGTCGACGGGCCATGGGAATGATGCTGCGACTGCTAGAGAGGTTGATCATGGCCCAATCGTAGCATGCACACGTAGTACGTACTCCCTCCCGTACCTAAATATTTGTTTTTCTAGACATATTTTAGAGTGTAGATTCACTCATTTTGCTCCGTACGTAGTTACTTGTTGAAATGCCTAGAAAGACAAGTATTTAGAAACAGAGGGAGTACGTTTTATACGTACGTGGACACGAAGCTCGATCCTTGGCCCCGCTTGCCATGGCCCAACCTTCCCGTCCAACTGTAAACGAGCATGCACACTCACATCACATGAGCATGGCGTCGCTGCTGCATCACACGGAGAAAGCGTATTTTTACGCGCCGCCTGAGATATGATGCATTGCTTGTTTCTTGCTTTCTCTCTCTCTCCCTCCCTCCTCTTTTTCCTTTTTTTGCGATGAGCTCGTTCGCCCTCCTTGTGTTTTCCGAGGGAACGAGCTTTTCCTCTTCGCTAGTGATAATGATCTCGTCGTCGTGCGCATCTTTTGCAGCGTAGTACACTACGAGAGACCCTTGGCGCGCCTTTTCCGACTTGATCGGGCAACATGGGACCGGCCAAAAGGAAGGGTAATGACGATGGATGTTACCACTTCCACACGCACATGCATGTGTCCCGTGTTTCTTGATTCACGCACTTTCCCTTCCATTTATGCTAAACAGACTAAGGAGGAGTGACGCGCGCAGCTGCTGCCCCAGTCTAGCTAGCACGTTTTCGGGCGGCAACGGGGGAGGAGGGGTAGCCCAATAATTCGTAACAGCGGGGCTTGTCTGCGTCTGTGTCGGCCTAAAACTCCGCGAAATGAAAGCAACATGCGCTTCCAAAGCTGCACTGGATGGAGCATGCAAGGATGCCGTCCTCGCAGTACTAGCTAGGCGGCGAGTAATGGCGGAGGCCCGTGGTAGGTGAGTGAGGAGTGAGGACGAGGCCGGCCACGCGTGGACGTGGCGTCGCATCGCTCCCGCCGACCTTTCTCGGCCTTGCACGGCACCAGCACAGGGCAACCGCAGAAAAGTGGCTGTACTAATCTGAACATGGCCTCGCATGATCACGTTTCTTCGAACTTGGCAACAGGCGGAAGAGCAACTTGCGAAAACTCATGCTAGGAAGTAGGAAGATTATGTTTGTTAGAGCATCTTCGATAGTATGTGTATATTTGGATGTCTATATATTTATATAGACAATGGTCTAAAAAAATTCTTTTATATACACGTTCAATTTTGCATCAGAACGTCTATATACAGGGACCATAACAGGTGAGCCATCGCTGAGAAGAGGAAGAAATCATGACTACAGTTAAGTTTAGACGACGCCTTCACAATGTCCAGACGTGAACATTGTCAATGTCGATTTAAAGGATGTGTATATTTGGATGACCAAGTTGTTGGACGCGTGTTTTGGGCTCACGTCCTGGAAAACGAGTATAGACATCCATATAGAGCTCGTATAGACATCCATATAGACAAGCTATTGGAGATGCTCTTATCCAGTTGCTGCTGGATTGTCATCCAGTTACACAAGCGCGTTGAGTTTCGAAACAGGTGCTACTATCCAACATCCGTTAAGTGTGAAGACCTTCACGCGGTCTTTTGATTTCACGGCGCGATTAGTGTTGGTTTACTTCTCACTCTTTTTCTTTTTTGTTCGGCTAGAATCAGTTCCGGTTTACTTTGGTTCCTCCGCATATCACTTCATGAATAAGGCATGTAAAAAACACATGATGTACTGCATGCAGCTGAGACCGCTCAACTGTTTGCTTTCTATAGTTTCTACCTCTGGTTTCCTTCTGTAGACGGGGGCAAAGCAAAAGTAAGTGGTGCCAAGCACCGCATCGAATCGACCTGCCTTCATCTACATTGTTGTACACTCTCCAGCTTGCTTCGCCGTATCATCACCAAGCTGAAACATAGCAGAAAATCAATATGCGGTGACAAACGGCAGATGAGAATTTCTTCAAGGAGACAAGGATCAAAATAGTCGATATATATACCTCATGAGGAGACGACTTTGATGCCACCTCAACTACATAGAAAGAGACCACTTAAAGGGCACTGACTGGATCATGCCTCCACAATGCAAAATTCCTCTACTTCTTAAAATACATGGCTAACATGCCTCGCTGGCGGTTCATCCAGCGGTATCTGAAAAAGGAGCTTCGTGTAAATCAAATGCCGCAAACTTGATAACATAAAAAACTAGCTCAGCAGTAACATTTATGCTACACAGTTTCCATATAGAACGAGGAAGAATTTAGTATATCTCCTAGCAGAAGTTCCACTGTTTTTCCAGACTCCCACCAGGAATGTCTAATTATCCAGACACGAAAATTTTATATGTGCTCCATATAGTTGGTAGAGCAGAACCTACTGTAATGTAAGTAAACAGATAAGACGTCAAGGCGTAAATTCCTAATAACTAAACTATTATGCCTTCAAAAAGAAGCAGGAAAATCATGTGTGTGTGTGTCACCACTTTAGATGCTGGAGATAACTTGGAGATTAGCTAAGCACGCACGCCACAGCTTGTGTGTGAGTTAAGAAGTCACGTGATCTTGCCGAAATGGTGAAGAGAAGCCACCAGGAAAAACAATTGTTTGTGGCTGAACATTCTTAAGAAATAAAACCATAGAGGTATACAAGGAAAGTAGCCACACCTGTCCAATTTCCCATTTTTCCTTCAGCCAAATGCTATCATCCTGCTTTTCGTTTCTACTGGCTCTGTTCAATAAAAGCATAAGGCAAGGGTAAGCACAAGTAGTGAAACTTCACTCTGTTACAGATAGATGTTTTATAAATTCATAAGTCAAAAACAACAAAGTAACAAAATATATTATAATATGGTTAAACAGCCAGGTTTAATTGATTTTTGATATTCTCCTAAAACTGTGTCTTACCAAGGAGCATAATTTTATAGCAAAGAAAGTAGTACAATTATTAATTGAAACTTGTACTAATAATATTTCTACTAAGAATATTAAAGGAAGTAATACAGTGAACACCTTCACCGCATAATCTAAGAATCTGCGTTCAATTATTTCTCATTAATGGGTTATGGTTCTTGCCCAGAGTACATATATAAATTAGAATTATGAAGGAACTTAACTCAACAGCTGCCTGGTCCATGGCACTTGTACGAGGTGTCATCCCATTAAGTAACTCCACTGACTGCTTATCAATGTCTCTGTGATGGCCAGACGAAGTAGAGTTCTGAAAATTGCTGTTGCTGGACATGCTCGAGCCTTGGTAACTCCCAAATGATTGCTTTGATGTCTGGCTCCCAACTGCATATGCAAGTTTTGAAAAAGTTAAAAAGGCACCCAAGCACAATAATTTCTGCAGATCTCCTAAAGAAGGGATATAAGCAAATGTTTATAACCATAAGAGGGTGAAAATAACAGGATCTATTTCAAACAAGATTGTTGAATACATGCAAGGCAAAGAATGAACTTTTGGACAGGTGCAATGTATTTGTGCTAATGCATATCTCTGTGCACTGGTCATAGTTTCACTTGATGAATGCCAAATGCACCGCCTTCTTTCATGCAACAGTAGAACTTCCTGCTATGGAATAACAATTATAACAATATTGTGAAATTTAATCGTTTGCATCATTGTTAAAAAAAATCATCATACACCAGCACAACGAAAATCTACATTAAGATGCCATTCCTGGTTCCTCATGGTGCACATACACAAGATGGAAACAGCCTTGTGGAACTTGCCAAAAATGATTTTATAGCATTCATTTACCAATATGTGCCAAATTATTCAATGGTCAGAAATCAGAAAAGATGGACAGCATCTGGAGACAGGATAGACTCAAACAGTTAAAAGTAATCAGATTTCAGACTGTTGGTTAATTTTTATTGTTCATCTGGGGCAACATATCGTATGGAATCTGTTAGGAGCTAGGGTTCTGCCCTGCCTAGGGCGTAGGGTGTAGGGGAAGGAGGGAGTTGGGCGCCATCCTTGCGGTTGGGCGGCGGCGAGGCGCCGTCCTTGCGGTTGGGCGGCGGCGGCGCAGGAAGGAGGCGGCTAGGGTTAGGGTTCCGGCTCCTCTGGGAGCCGGGCAATAGAATAGTCTTATTGCTTAATTCTCGAAATAGTCTTACAACTTGTATATATAACCATAATCTGAAAATAAAACTAAGATAACTTGAGGCCTAAGCCTGCCCAGTGGGGCCCCTACGGCCATAGACCTGGCCGGTCATAACATCTCTCCCCGCCTGCGCAAACAGCTCGTCCTCGAGCTGAAAGTCGGGGTAGTGCTGGCGGAACTCCTCGCGCTGCTCCCAAGGAGCGTCCTCCTCTGGTAGTCCGGTCCACTGAATCAACACGTACCAGGAGCCTCGGCGCAGCTGAGCCTTCAACGCCTTCTCTGGCTCAGGAAGTAGGCGCCCGTCCGTGATCGATGGAAGTGCCGGCGGTGCCGCGGGTGGCTCGCCGCGGAATGGCTTGAGCAGCCCGACATGGAAGACATCATGGATCCGCGCGCCTGCCGGAAGCTGAAGACGGTAAGCCACTTTCCCAATGCGTTCCAGGATAGCAAAGGGACCGGCATAGCGAGGACCGAGCTTCTTCCTCGCGCGTGGGTCCAAGGACTGCGTAGAGCGGTGAAGTAGACGCAACCAGACCCAATCACCCACCGCGAACTCCACCTCGCGATGGTGGCCATCATAGTAATGTTTGGCCAACTGCTGGGCCTGTAGGAGCCGTTGCTGGACCTCCGCTAGCATCTCATCACGGCTCCTCAGAAGAGCCACGACTGCCTCGGTCCGTGCCAAGGCCGGATCAACCGGAAGGATCGGCTGGGGTGGCCGGCCATACACCACCTCAAAGGGCGTAGCACGAAGGGCGGAGTGATAAGAGGTGTTGTAGCAGTACTCCGCCCACGAGAGCCAGTCCACCCATGCACGAGGGCGATCACCTATAACACAACGCAAATACATGGCAATCACCTTGTTAACTATCTCAGACTGGCCGTCCGTCTGAGGGTGGAAGGCGGTGCTCAGGCGTAGCTTCACGCCCGCCAGCCGGAAAAGGTCGCGCCACACATGTCCCGTAAACACGGGGTCCCGATCACTGACGATCGAAGAAGGAAACTAGTGGAGACGGACAATGCCCTCGAAGAAGGCCCGTGCGACAGATGCCGCTGAATAGGGATGGCCAAGCGCGATGAAATGAGCATACTTGGAGAAGCGGTCGACCGCCGTGAGAATGACAGACTTGCCGCCCACCTTGGGAAGGCCCTCGATGAAGTCCATGGAGATGTCCGCCCAAACCTAAGACAGGACCTCCAAGGGCTGAAGCATGCCAACCGGCCGTAGAGTCTCCGTTTTGTTGCGCTGGCACGTCACACAAGACCGTACCCAGTCACGGACCAGGGCACGATCACCGGGAATGTAGAAGTCGGCGCGGAGACGATGGAGCGTCTTTTGCACGCCCTCATGGCCCGCCGAGTGGGCGAGGCGCAGCACCTGCTGGCTAAGATCGTCGTGCGCTGGAACGAAGACCCGGCGCCCATGGAGAAGCAGGCCATCAGCGAGGCGCCACGGCTCCTCCAGCTCTCCCGCCGCTAGCTGCTGCTGCAGGAGGAGGGAGTCGGCCGCGGCAGCGGTCGCCCGTCGGATGTCGGCGTAGAGGGCGAAAGAGGGCCCGGTGAGGATGCAAAAGGCCGCCCCCTCCACCGTACCGTCGTCCACATCGGCGTCACGCCGAGACAGGGCGTCGGCGCCGGTGTTAAGACGACCCGGCCTGTACTCGACGGTGAAGTCAAAGCCAAAGAGTTTACTGATCCACTGGTGTTGGGGTACCGTCGAGAGCCTCTGATCCAGCATGAACTTGAGGTTGTAATGGTCTGTGCGGATCCGGAAGGAACGGCCCCAAAGATAGGGCCGCCAATGGCGTACTGCCTGCACCAACCCAATGAGCTCACGCTCATACGCCGCCAGCTTAAGATGGCGCGCGGCAAAGGGACGGCTGAAGAAAGCAAGGGGCCCATCGCCCTGATGCAGGACCGCAACGAACCCCGCACCGGAGGCGTCGCAGTCGACGGTGAAGGGGAGGTCGAAATCCGGCATCTGCAGTATGGGTCCCGTCGTGAGGGGGGCCCCCTTGAGGGCCTCGAATGCTGAAGTGGCCTCCTCATCCCAAGAGAAGGCGTCGCGACGGAGGAGACGCGTGAGTGGGGCCGCGATGAGGCCAAATACCCGGATGAACTTCTGGTAGTACCCCGCGAGGCCAAGAAACCCGCGAAGAGCCCGCGGAGACTGAGGAATCGGCCAGGCGGCGACGGCCGCCACCTTGTCTGCGTCCATGGCCACTCCCTCAGCCGAGATGACGTGGTCGAGGTAAGCGACCGAAGGCGTCCCGAACGAGCACTTCGAGCGCTTAAGATGAAGATGAGGCGCCCGAAGCTCGTTGAAGACGATGGCCACATGCTGGAGGTGCTCTGCCCAAGAGGCGCTGTAGATAAGAATGTCATCAAAGAAAACGAGCACGAACCGACATAAGTAGGGCCGGAGGACATCGTTCATCAAGGCCTGAAATGTCGCCGGGGCGTTGGAGAGGCCAAAGGGCATCACCAAGAACTCGAAGTGGCCGTGATGAGTCCGAGACGGCGATGTCGTCTGGATGCATGCGCACCTGATGATACCCCGACCGGAGGTCCAGTTTGGTGAAGAAGCGTGCCCCATGTAGTTCATCCAGGAGTTCATCGACCACCGGGATAGGGAACTTATCCTTAAGTGTGAGAGCATTAAGGGCGCGGTAGTCGATGCAGAAACGCCACGTGCCATCCGACTTGCGAACGAGGAGGACCGGCGCTGTGAATGGTGATGTGGAAATCCGGATAATGCCCGCGGCAAGCATGAGTGCACACTGCCGCTCCAACTCGTCCTTCTGCAGCTGGGGGTACCGGTAGGGTCGTACTGCCACCGGCGCCGAGCCCGGCAGGAGATGAATACGGTGGTCGTAGACCCGGGCCGGTGGAAGGCCCTGGGGTTTCGCAAAGAGATCATTGTGCTGCTGCAGGAGGTTATCCAACAGCGGATGCTCAGCCTCAGTGGTGGCCGCGGCCAGCTGGAGCGGGGGCGACGCCGGGGCGCCTCCAACGCCCTCCCACCGGATGCGACGGCCGAGGCGCCAGAAGGTCATCGTCAGGGCGTCGAAGTCCCAAAGGATGGGTCCGAGAGTCCGCAAAAAGTCGACGCCGAGGATGAAGTCGAAGCAGCCCAAGTCGATGCCGGCACAAGTGATGGTGAAGTGCTCGTCGCCGATAGTAATGGGTACGTCCCGAGCGAGCCCATGGCAGCGGAGGCGGTCACCATTAGCGACGGTGACCCGCAGCTGCTCCCCGCCTGTCGGCTGTAGCTCAAGGCGCCGCATAGTAGCCTCAGGTAGGAAGTTATGTGTAGAACCCGTGTCCAAGAGAGCCCCCAGAGTCTCGCCACGGATCATGACCGGTATAAGCATAGTCCGCTCATTACGGATGCCGGCCAACGCATGAAGGGAGACAACAAGGGCCGTAGCCGGCGCGGGCGCGGGTGCTGACGCGACCTCGGCGGCGGTTGGGTCGCCGAGTCCATCATCAGGGGTATCGTCCTCCGTCTCGTCGACCGTCTCCAAGTAGAAGAGGCGCGGGCAGACATGGCCCGGGGCATAGGGTGCGTCACAGTTAAAGCACAGCCCCAGGCGGCAGCGCTCGAGCTGCTCTGCCTGTGAAAGGCGCCGGAAGGGCCGCGTCGCGGCCGGGGTGGTCGCCGACGAGGCGGCTGAAGGTGCTGGCGCGGGCGGCGGGGGCCGTGGAGGCAGTCGGCTCCCCCGAGGTGTTGTTGGCCGTGTCAAGGCCTGGGCACGCTCCTCGAACGCCCGAGCTTAGTATACGGCCATCTGTAGGTCCTGGGGCCCCTTCATCTCGACGTCCACGCAGATGTGGTCGGGAAGGCCGCCGACGAAGAGCTCAGCTCGCTGTAGTGCTGTCACCCCTGGTGCGTGACATGCCAGAGCCTAGAAACGGTCGGCGAAATCCTGGACCGTGGAGGTGAAGGGTAGGCGGCCCAGCTCGGACAAGCGGCTGCCGCGCCGTGGTGGTCCAAAGCGAAGGAGGCACAGCTCGCGGAAACGATCCCAGGGAGGCATACCGCCCTCGTCCTGCTCGAGGGCGTAGTACCACGTCTGGGCTGCACCCCGGAGGTGGTATGAAGCGAGCCAAGTGCACTCAGACGCAGGTGTGCGCTGCCCCTGGAAGAACTGGTCACACTGGTTTAACCAGTTAAGGGGGTCCTCCGAGCCATCATACGTGGCGAAGTCGATCCGGGCGAAGCGAGGTGGTGTCGGGGTCGATGCGCCAGTGCCCACCGGTTCGACGATGCGGAGGGCGGAGGGCGGCGCGTCGTACTGCAGCGTGGACACCGACGGTTCACCGGCCTCCGTGTAGACCGGTGATGCAAAAGGGGAAATGCAAATATTCTCTTTGCATTTTCATTCAACAGGCCTTTCATCTTTATCATTTCGCTATACCCATTTGCATGTGGTGAACAGATAAAAACATTCATGACAGTTAACACAATTTGTGGAGTAAAAAAAGTAAAATTTCTAGGCCCAGTGCATATTAGACCATAACTTCAATTGCTCTATTCATTAGTTCTTCTACATACAATACGATCAAGAAGCTAGTTTGAACTTATACCCAAAAACTACAACTACGGTTGCAAAGATCAACTAAGGCATATACCTGGAACTCCAAATCTCATTCCAGTACTGCCAAAAGCAGGGGCACCAAACGATGGAGTAGACTGTGTAGGCTGACCGAAAATGGTATTCATTGGAACTCCTGGTGTGGCAGTTCTGCATAAGATACATTAGTTCGGATTATAAACATAAGAACACAATAAACATGATCACTCATATTGATGGAAAGAAAAATGATCAGTCATGTTCATAGCAATTTATGGTAACCGAGTATTCTCGAAAGTGCCGACTACTAACAGAGTAACAGAATCAACAGTTTATTCAAGACCATAATCAGAGTATTACCTTGGCCCAGATCCGAAATTTGTTGCTGCTCCAAGTTGATTGAAACTACTAAACACAGGTGGTCCATTAGTTTGAGAACTCCCAAAGGTTGAGTTATTTTTCACTTCTGGGAAGGAGCCTGCAGTAGGAAAGCTTGGTGTTGCACGTGCCTTGTTCAGCAAATTAGTGAACTCCGCCAACTTTGCATTTTGTAGATTCCTTTCTCCTTCAACCTGAAGAAAGAAAAAATAAGGAATGATAGTTTGTTCTTAAGAAATTTCGGAAACAATTAACCAACTTTACAGTGACCAGTCTACAAAGGTTGATCTTTTTTTTTTTGGTTAAACCCACACTTAGAACTTAGAAGTCTCTATGTTGGAACATTTTCACGGGCATAGACCATGTCCACAAGGAAAGTTTCCACATATCTCTATGACTCTACCAACGATGATAAAGCAGGAATGCAGGAACACAAGGTACATATAGTAACCACTTGCTAATGTAACATAAAGTTCCATAAAAAAAATGTGTTACATAGCATTGTGCTAGTACATATGAGATCAGAACAATGTAGTCGCAGTAATGTTTGACCACATACTTCAAGTGCCAAAAAATACCATGAAAAAGAAAGGGTGGTACTGCCAGTAAGCTTACTATTGACTGCATAGGCTTCCCTTGTTTGCCCTCTTCGTATGCTTTAGCTCTCAGCTCCTCGTAGCTAATATCCCCCGTAATGTCACAAGGACCACTGTGTGTAAACAAAGCCAAATATTAAGCCATCTACATGGCCTAGCTAGGGCAGCTGCTGAAGCGGAATTCAGCATAAGATGTGATTTACCTTCTGAGATGAGCATAACAAGTAAGCTTCCACAGGGGAGCCTCATTCTTGAAATCATCAGATATCTGTTGCCTGCAGGACTCGGGGTCTGCACAGGATCTGGGAGAAGAACTTGCGACGTTAGTGACTCGCCCGTAACCAAGTCAAGGAAGATCAAAAGTATTATAGCACCATGGCATCGCGACTCACGTGTGGGCCGCCTGCGGTGCTGGCTGCGCCTCCGCTTGCTTTGTCGGCGGCGCCGAGGGATCCCTCACCCACTTATTTTGAAAAGGCTGACAAAACAATTCACTAGTCATACATATCTATCCATATAGACCACATAATTTTGCAATTGATGAAAATGTCGTACAGAGGAAGATCTCTTCCCCATTACAGTATACTAACCTTTGCCGGGCCAGGCTCGTTCCGCTGCTGGGCGGCACCGCCTTGCACTCCGAACCCGAACGGGTTGGGCTTCTGCTGCTGCTGCTGCTGCTGCTGGGACTGCGCACCGAACGACTGCTGCTGCGGCTGCTGCCTGCCCCCGGCGCCGAACCCGAAGGGGTTGGGCTTCGCCTGCTGCTGCTGCTGTTGGTTGGAGTTGGAGTGCACGAACCTGCACTGCGCCCCGTACTTGCAGCTGCGCGCAGCATCCAGAACCAGCATTACATACAAATCCACGGCGCGCGCGCGCGGCGGGGTCAGGGCAAGGGCAACCAACCAATCGGAATCGGTGGCCGCGGCGGAATTAGAGCGGGGACGGATCGGGGTACCTGCCGCGCTGGTAGTTCCTGCAGAGCTCCGGCCGCCGGTTCATCGCCGCCGAAGGGGGGCGATCCGGGGACGGCGCTTGGCCGGCGCGAGTCGTGCCTAAGGTTTAGGGTGGGGGGCTCGCTGTTGCTCCGAAGGACCCCCTTCCCCGCCGCCAGAAACGGCCTACTTCACTCTGCCGACGGATCAGCGTAGCGTGGACGCGACGCGGCGCGAGGCGGCGGGGCAGTCCTTGGCTGTCAGTCGGTGGGATTCGGGGAGAAGCCGCGGCGGGCGCGGAGTCCGGTCGGCGCAAGAGCGGCGCAGAGCCAACCAACGGGCGGTAATCGCTGGGCCGCGGGACGCAGGGCTAGGCCCATGCGACGTGGGCCGTGTCCCCTTCCGCGTTTTCCTCTCAGGTGGCTGGTGGGCTAACCCTCAAAAGAAAAGGTGGCTGGTGGGCTTCCACCGTCCCGTACTACGGGCAACAACGGCAAGGCGCGCCCTTAACCACACACAGGGCAGCGAGGCTGAGTGGCTGACCAGAGCGGAGCAGAGACCACGAACGAGACGCGGCCGGCCACGGCGCTGGTGTCCTCGTCCGCCGTCGCTGTGCCGCGCGGGGATGGCGGGGCAGGCGCCGGCCGTGGTGGCGTTCGCTCTGGCGGCCGCCATCCTGTCGACGCCGCCTCCGCAGTCGGAGAACTTCTCCAACATCCCGCCCACGCTCTCCGGTACGTCCCCGTTCATCCGCAGGAGAGAGCAGCGCCACCACGGATGGCATGCGCACAGGCACAGGCACAGCACAGGTATCAGTTAACTGATGATGGAGGTGGGGATGCAGGGGACGACAAGGCGCAGGTGAGGATCAAGCACCCCAAGTCGGCCAAGGCGCTGCAGTGCACCTCCAAGTGCGTGGCCACCTGCATCCGCGGCGGCGAGGGGCCCATCAACGTCCGGAGGCCCCTCGTCGTCTTCAAGGAGGGGCAGTTCCGCAGCCGCCTCTACTGGTAATTACTCTACTAATTAGCCGCCCTGCCTGCCTGTTAGTACTGCTGGGGCCAGGCCACTGACGAGTTAACCATACGTGCTTAATTCCGTGCAGCCTGACAGAGTGCTCGGACATCTGCAACCTCATCAAGGACGGCGAGGACGGGCCATGAGACGATCAGACGAGCGAAGCTCTTGCCCAGGAGGAACGACAAGCACATTCAGGGCCATTCCGGGACTGCATTTCTCACAAGGAACCGCGCGAATCACGACGGAAATTCCGAAAGGAACCACGGCGGTCATGCGGTGAAGAGATCATACTAGGGAGGGAGGGAGCATCGCCATGGAATTTCTGTACTTTCTACCGCTTGCTTATAGCTGTACATGACACAGCAGGCAGAGCAATACATTTTTGGCATTGTCAGGACCATGAGCAACAGAGATACAACATGAATGAATGAATGAATGCCTTCAACTCATAACTTGAATTTTATTCTGCAACATATACAGCCATGCTGAACTCACTGATCCAGTGTCGAAACAAACCTGCTGAACTCACTGCACTTGCAATCCTTTCTGACCCGCGCACTTGCTGAAACAGCTAGGTTCAACTGTCAACAATCTAGGTTTCCTTTCTTGCTTATAAATTGTAGTACTACTCCCTCCTTTCCGGTTTATAGGGCTTACTCCCTACATAAAATTGTAGTATCTCAAAATTTTAGTTTTTCCATTTTATAAGGTTCAATTTGATTGTTCCCCATTACATGTTCAGACTTCAAGGTGCATTAAATCATTGCATGCAAGTATTAAGAGAAAACTGACCAATGCATGCACTTTATGCATGCATGCATTGCAATTAATGCATTCGTAAACATATTTTTTTAAGGAAAACAAGAGCATTAATTGGGTGCTTTTGCAAACTATAAAAAATATTCCACCACTCATCATCTACCTTGGTTGGTGAGATTTTTGAATTGAGCCTTAGGGCATCTCCAACAGTTGTGAGATGGGTGTTGGTAAATTTGCCACTTAGGACATAATGATGATGTGGCATGTATTAAATATGGAGAGAGAGCAAAGTTGTATGTACATTAACCAACAACCTTTGCACAAGCTCCAAGGTGAAATAAAGAGCAATCATATTTATTGTCTCACAATCTATTGGATAGCTTACATACAACCTATTGAAGTAGTTGTATGATAACTTGTTGATTGATGACATGGACATTTTACCAACAAGACTAACATACAACCTGTTGGAGATGCCCTTATAAACCGGAAAGGAGGGAGTACATGATAATGCCGCAGACCAGAGCTGCAGGCTACATTATACTCCCTCCGTCCCATAATATTGACACTAGTGCAGTGTCAAAAACACTATTATATTATGGGGCGGAGGGAGTACATGTTGTCAGTAGACTCACAACAACTTCATAACGATCGCCTTCATTTTATTTGCTAGCTAGTTAGAAATCAACCACTATCATATACAACATTTTGCCCTGAATTCGACAAGAAGTCGAGGCAAACTAGCCAATTAATCCAGCTGACGTGCTCAAGATTTATCTGACATCTTGAGGAGGATACCAGTCTTTTAATCCAGCCGGCCGTTGCACATTGGTTCAGTGCTGAAACAAACCGGATGATCACTGGATGTGCACCTGTGTGATCCGAGACCTGGTCGACCACTTGCCGAAACGGCTCGGTTCGACTGCCGACAATATAGGGCTTCCTTGCACCTCTGACCTGATGATTCAACTGTTACAATAAACAGATATTCAGTACATGGAAAGACACACATATATTCGCTGTTGCAGAAGTACTCAGAATGCAATTTTTTATTGTTGGACACTATTTTAGCTTACCAGTCAGTTCACTGATCCCATATCAGGCAGGAAAAGGTATCGAAATCGGGAGTCGAACGGGATGATGCCGAAAGTCCGGGTGCCCAGGAGGCTTTGCCGCCTCTGAGACACGCAGTGCTCGACGAATGTAGCTTGCTGCTGAGGCAGGAAATGCGATATCCAGATAGGGAAGCTGTTGTCGTCGACGAACCCTCGCGCGAAACAGTGCAGCATTTTGGGGATCAGAAGCTTCCCCTTCCGGCTCACTCCCACCGATGCTCTGATGAAATCACGCTGCGCATCCTGCAGCTCTTCCCTTACGTTGCTGGCTGTGTATATCTTCACCTGCAATGATAAACAATCGTCAGTTAAGTATAAAAACGTTGCAAAATGATGGTGCTGCATTTCATATCAAAAGCCATAAAATGAGTGATCTAAACTTACTGCAGGCGAAGAATACATTCCACAGCTGAGGGCAAATGTCAGAAGTGGTTCAGGTGTTGAAATGCAGAACTTTCTCTGGTCCTCAGGTGACTTTATCTTCTGAAGGGCAAGAAGCAGAGCCTTAAGCAAAACAAAGAAACTGTTATCAGTTTGCATTCATGAACAAACAAGCAGGTTTGTCATCAAGATGCACTGCAGCTCACATACCATCTGTGGCCTGTGATTCGGCGGCTTCATCTTCAAAATAACATATTCGATGAATGCCGCACTGAATGAATTCCCTCCAATTGTGTAGGCAGCCTGGAATAAAAATAATAGCAACAGTGTTAGACATGAATCATCACATGAGTACAGAAAAACGAAAATCAGTTAACGAGCACAAATCAAGTTTTGAAGCAAACCTTTTGCATCAGTGAAAACAGTTTCATGTCACTTCGTGGAACACCGTAGGCAAGATAAGCCTGTAAAGGGATAAAGCACCATCAAGTCTCGCGTCAACTATCAACCAAGTCTATCTCCATAACCAGAAAGGCTACACAACTAAAGCGAGTCTGTCAATTCACCATACGTGCATCAACAAGGCGTTGTACAGATTGATCCAAAACGCCAATCTCGCGTCGTCGCTGAGATGAACAGGGTTTACTTCTGCCAGCTGTTCAATCAGCAACCTGCACTCCAATTAGCATCCATCAGTACGGATTAGTGAATTTTAAATCAAAACCAAAGCATCAAGACATGCTAAGAACACTGCCCATCTTTTTGGTATTCAGACTTGCAACTAAAATTGTGATTTCTTGGGGTACACAAAGTGTAATGCTGTCTTGTTTGGTAAGTCAGCAGACTAATAGCATCCGTAATTTCAAACTTTGTCTTGTGCGGTATTCAAACTTGGAACTAAAAATGTAATTTCTTGGGCTAGACAAAGTGTGATGTTGTCTTGTTTGGTACACTGAATGGTAACTGCTACTCATAGCCAGTGGACTCTGAATATAAGTAGCATGGATTGGTTGACACCATACCTGAACTTCCGAAGCGACTCCGCGGCATACTCGAGCTGCTTCTTCCCGGCGGACATCCACGAGACCTCCGACGCGGCGCCGTAGCCCCCGATGTCGGCCCAGCTGAGCTTCTCCCGGGCCTTGTACGGGTCGAAGACGGTCTCGGAGGCCAGCAGGTGGTTGTTCTGGTTGAGGTCGACCTGGGGGCTCTGCACCCAGGAGGAGATGGAGGATGGCTCGGACAGCGACCAGAAGGCGGCGATCCCGCTGGGCGACGGGCCGGCGCGCTGGCCCTCCCCGGCGGCGGAGGGGTTGCTGGCCCTGGAGGCCTCCCGGCAGGAGTCGGAGAGCGAGATGAAGATGTTCCTCATGCACCGCACGATGTCCTCCGACAGGTGGTTCGGGTTCGCGCCGCCGCCGAGGGCCTTGATGGAGAACTGCCGATGCAGCTTCGGGGGCGCGGCCTTCTCCGCTCTGGTGGAGTTGCTGGTGTCGCTCGCCGTGTCCTGGTACGGAGAGAGCGCCATGGATGGATTCAGATACGGAGGTAGAAAGAATGTGGTGGTGAGGAGAGGGGGGAGGCCGGCGGGCGGGCGTACGTCGGATTCGGACTCGGGTCTGGCGGCGGGGCGGTGGGAGCAGAGGGGGAGCGGCCGCTGCTTGGCGTTGGCGCGGTACTCGACGAGGCGCCGCTCGTTGCGCTCCTGGATGAGCTGGAAGTGGAGGGCGACCATCTCCTCCTCCAGCTTGGAGACGGCCGCCTCCATGGCGGAGATGTTGGAGAGCAGCTC